GGGGGGGGGGGGGGTTGGGGGGGGCCGGGGGGGTCTAACAGAATCAAGGGGGTCCATGGGGTCCATGGTGGTCACTTGGGGGGGGACCAGGGGCTAGTTTTAGCCCCCCAACCACCCCCTGGTAAACTTATATCCCTCCCACCCCCCTCCTCACTGATACTTAATTGCTCAGCTCCTGACAGCCGTAAACGCTGATAAAAGCAGCAGCATGTGGAACAGCATGTGGGATGGAGGAGATGGAGAGGGGGCTGGCTGGTCCATGATGGGCAGGATGAGGGGCCAGGGAGCTAAAAATAACCTGGTGCTGGACAGGGGTGTGTGAAAAGTGCAGCCCTGGGACTAGCGCTGGCAGCTAGACTTTCCCAGCCCCAGGGCTGCACAGGTAACTGTACTAAAGTTCCATGCCCGGGTCTAACCTAGATTGAATAAGTCTGAGACTACATCGATCCAGGTCTATCTAAAACCAGGTTCTACAATATTTAGATTGGTCTGTGTGTGCAGAACTTCTGTATAGTTACAGGTTTAGATCAATTTCCGATGACTGAGTCCAAGTGTAAGGTTTGCACAAGGGTGAACTAAGTTAGATTGGGTGGCCATTTTGAATGTGATCTAATCTTCCCCTAGTGCCACTGAATGTCTGCACTAAGTCCTAGAGAGCAAGAGAAGAAATACAAAGTTATCTTCCTAAGGCCTACCACTCGGAGTAGAATTCTACTACCCCCTGTGCACCTCAGTGAAACTGGACCAGCCTCATAAGGAGCACTTTGGGCATGTACACAGTTTGCAATCTGTTACTCATACTCATCCAGTGTAGATGCATTAACATGGTGTGCATTCTTAGTAGGAATCTCACTGGCCTAGCAGGTACAGGGCCCAGCTATATATGAGTGTGTGCTGCAATAAGTCACAGGATGAAGATGAGGATTTCCCATGTTTTAGCACCAGTAGCTGAGTGGTTAGGGCACTCACCCACAAAAGTAGAAGACCTAAGACCCAAGCCACCCCCACCAAGAAGAGGGTTTGAAACTATTATCACAGGTTAAGTATTACCCAGAGCTTTCTCTGGCCTGCCACTTCAAGCTAAGGCACTGTGCCTGGCATTTAATAGTCATTGGATAAAATGCATTGGCTAGAGTGCAATGTAGGGGGAAAGTTTCTACTTCTTTGGGAACAAAGGTCCAATCTGGAAGCCAGGAGCTACTCCTTTCCAAAGCAACAAGCATCTCACTGAGCCACACAACCTCTAGCTTCTTACCTTCCTCCTGACCCAACTCCTCCCCACTCTTTTGTCTGCTCAGAGGGCTTGATGGGGGACTGAGTAATGCCTAACAGGTTAAAACATTGGGACTACAACATTGCAGAGCTGCTTTCTTCTTTCTCCTCACCCACTAGCTATGGGTTTTGTTCAGGTAGAATGTCATTATTTACATAGGTAACAGAGTATAATAGAATCATAAAATGTGCTTAAGTGTCAAAAAAGCCACTTGCGCACCCAGAAAACTGCTATTAAGGCTCACAAGAGAATTCCACCCTTGATGTCTAGTAAACAAGAGAGTAGTCAACTGCTCATCAGTGTCTAGATACACTGGCGAAATGAGCCAAAACAAATAGTAAAATGAGGTGATATCAGTTTGACAACACAAAGAAAAACCTAAATTAATCCAGACCCATTCTACAATGGTGCAGTTGTCTCCTGATAAAAGTTGAGGCCCTTGCAGGATTGGATTAAATTTGCAAAATTAATTCCAGCATCATTATTACTGAATAGATAAGATTATAAAAGCAACATACTTCAGTAAAAGTGCAATAGTATTGTTAAAAACAATAATGCTAAATATTTGAAAACTACATTAACTATATTAAAGCTCCCATTATTCCCACTCTATGACATCACTGTTATTTGTATAGAATAGACATATATCCTCTTATCACTTGGTTTTCATTGTATCAGTATATTCATCCTGACAGAGAGATACGCCCTAGCAATTATCATCTTATAGAAGTGTAGTATTTAAGTCAATGGAAAGCAAATAAATATAATAAAATCATTCTCTCAATCTCTGCTGTTTTCCTGAGTACAGCAGGGCAATATTTAAAGTTTCCTGTTCATCTATTAAAATGTCATGGCTGAAATCCTGTCCATATGGAGCTCAATAAAAGTTCTGCCATGGACTTCAAATCGAGCTATTGTTTAATATCATAAACTTGTTTAGAGCACCCACAATTCACATTCCTGGGCACATTTAGCACTAAACCTCATCTTCCAGTTAACAGAAAAATGTATGAATAAACCCAACACTCCTGGGATGGTTATATTATTATCAGTTCATAAAAAATCATCAACATCTTGAACAGAATACAAAATTATATGTTTGTCTTCTTTAGATAATAAGAAAAATGTATGATCTTATTTTCATTATCATGCTAGTAAAACACCGAGATAGAGCTCATAATTGCATAAAGTGCACTCTTCTGTAGAGACAATTTACTTCATGTGAACTGTTTGGTGTATTTAATTATATAGTAGTCCAAACACGATCACATGGCAATACAACTTCCTATAGAGACAGATGAATACAAAGGTACTTCTGATATTTATTCAACCCTTCACATTACACAAGCAGGTGTGTGTATCGAATTATCTTTTCCTATTCATCACTCCCCCTAATTATTCTATTTATGATCCCACCTGTACCAAAAGCACAATTCAAGTCAAATGATCTTGGTTATTGGAGTTTAAGAACTGTTAATAATCACAACAGTGATTATGGGTGGTGTGGAGGTGGGGAGAAGGAGGTAAAGTGTTTGACAATTAACTTTAAGTAATCCAGGAAACAAATTATACCAGCTTTGTTTAAAAACATTATGGAGTTATAGTAATAGAAAGGTCTAGTTTTTGAAGCATTCAGCATGATGCTTCGCTACGTCATTGCAGCACCAGAAAAATCCATCAATAGTTAAGTGACATGAAGGAAAAGTAAGAAACATTTTGAGATATGAGAAGATGCATGCAAGATGCTTGATATTAGAACCTGGGCAAAGGTCTTTAATAAGCACCTAAAAATAATTCAGCTCTATCGAGTGTGAAGTTATACATAATTAAATGAATATGTTTTGCCATCAAGAAATTTCTCCAAAGCAACAGCATTTCATCATTGTACATGGCCATAGAGAACCACTTAAAAACAAAGTATTGAGAGTAACTTTTAGAATTTGCATGGCATGGTACTGGATCAACCACATATTTTGAAATTTTTATTAAATATCTGCCACACAGGTCCATATTATATATTTTACCACAATCATCTAGAGAAAAATATAATCAATTAAACACACTTAAAAGCTGCCGAACAACTATATGCTCACATGAATAAATACATGGAAAGGAAATGCACCAATGTATGTATCTCACAATACACAACAGGAAAAAGGCACCTGCCCACAAATTCTTTCCCAGGAATCCTCTGTTACAAAATAAAATTGATACTGTAGTCTTCATGACATCAGATCAATGAACAAAAGATTCAGCTGTTCCCTGCATTAATAAATCACATTATTGGTCTTACAGTGCTGGATTTCACTAAAAAAAAGGTTCACATGCGACAGTACCATTCACTGGTAATTTCAGACAGCAAGCTATTTTGATCAGCTATGTTGATTATCTACTGTTTTCACACATGCCAAGCTTTTTAATCTTTCAAAAAGTTTACTGATATTTAATAAATGAAATTCAACAGTCCTGTTAGTGTTACTTATGACCCTCTTCAATCCTGTTCAGTACAAAGATGTGCAACAATGCAGAATCCCCCCCTATATATTAGCTTCTCTGATTAAACTCATGGAACTGTCTTAACTTAAACAAAAGCACAATCAAGGACAAATAAAACATGCTCATAGGCTTCAAACCTGAAAGATGTTTTCACTAATGCTTCAGGACTGTCCACTGGTGGTAACTCATCTGCTAAGATTTCTTCTGGAGGCCGAGGGTCACTGATGATTGTTGGCTTTGGCCTTTCTTTGAGATTACCCGTAAGCCCACCAATAATGGTATTCCACAGGCAGTTCTGTGACTTTGACCCTAAACAGATAAAATGAGAGAATGAGATTGAATTAATAAGGACTATTTTCTGTTTTCTAGGCACTCTGGAAAGGAAAGGTGGCATGTTATCGCTTTGCCTTTCAGGGTCTAGCATTTGGGCCTAGGTCTACAGATACTAAGGACACTAACATAAGGATATCACCTAGTCTACGATGCTTTCCTTGATGGAAGATTTGTTTATTGAACAGAAATAACCGTCAGCAAAAGCTCTTTCTTCTGCTGTTTTTTTACATTCTACTCAAGCTGCAATTCACCATACTTGTATGTGGGAATGTGCTTGTAGTCTAAGCCAAAAATTGTTTGCATTATAAGGCAAAAAAATGACAAGCTAGGTATCAGATCAATAACATTACTTATGAATTAATCTACTTGTCGCCCTACGTCAATGTAACAGCACACTACATCTCTGTATGGCGCGCTTCAGCAATGGAGTGATCGCATGAGTTTACACATGATTAGCTGGTACTTTGCCATAGCGGCGTGCTCCCCTGTTTTAGCGCACCATTACAGCAAAGTAGCTAAGAAATCTAACTGTGCGCCACGCACATGGGTTAGTACAGGCAGTTACTGCACCATGCTTTAGTCCTTCCAAAAGGAAGGACTAAAGCATGGCACTATAGCAATGTCACTATACATAGACATGCCCAATCAGTTTCTATTTAATTATTAAGATTAGGTTAAAGACCAAAACTATATATGAAAGCTAGTGTTGGTTGAAAAATAGATTTCTTATCCGCTAAAATTTCAATTTTTTCCCCTCAAAAATTCAAGTGTAAAAATATTTTGGCTGAAAGTAGAAATCTTTCCATTTGAAAATACAGCTATGTCCCTTGTGTTTCCATTCTGCTCTACAAGCCTAACCCTTTGGTCAACCTACATCTTCGCTCATCACAATCTGTCCCACAGAGGAGACACAAGTGCATCATGGGAATCCACAGTCATGGTACATGATGGGACATGCTATCCAGTCAGCAAACTAGGTCAGAAAAGAGAAAAAAGATATGAGGCAATTGAACTACAGCTTCCAAGATGCACTGCCTCAGCTTTTCCAAACCAAAATATAGTTATTTGAAACCAAATAAAAGTTTGATTTTGAAGTCTACTTTTTCAACAAAAAGGTATTTTTGACAAAAAGAACACACTCTTTGAAAAAAAAGGTTAATTTTACATTCAAAAATAGTTTTGGCAGAAAAATGTTGACCAACCCTGAATGACATTTTTAACAAGTATATTGATTTTTAGAAAACAAGATAATATTTATTACTAGCTGAGACATCAGTGCATGAATGGAATATCAAATACTTGAGATTACTGAAAACAAATATGTAAGCTACACGCCACTCTACTGTATTTAACATCCTAAAATAGCAATAAGCGTGACACAGAATGTATATTACTTATCTCTCAATAGAGAACCACTTGTGTGTGGGAGAGGTTTCACACGTATAAAACTTCCATCAGTACTGAAGTACTATACAAATCCCAAGGCATCAGCAGCAAAAAAAAAAAAAAAACAACAGCCACACAACTTGACTGCTCAAGCATGGGCCACATATTTAGAGCTGTGTTTTTAAATAAATGCATCGTGATTTGAGCTACATAGAAAATCTTCTTTTTTCCAAAAGGGTTTCATGAAACATTTTTCTTTTTTCCTCAATTCTATTTTAAGGGAATTTTCTATCCAGCTCTTCTAGTAATATGACCAGCTACATTTATGAAGTATGCCAGGTCTAAGAACATGGCAACTGAATTAAAATCCCTCTCTCAGAATAAGTGGGCTGTAATTAGATCTTTATAACAAAAATAGACTGAAAATGCATGCAAAGAAAAGGGGAAGGATTTGTAATGTGATGTGAACAGTTTTCCATCAGTTGTTTTAAGAAAAGACTATTTTTCAACAACAATAAACATTTAATGTGAAATATTTTCAACGGCGGGTGTGAAACTCATCTGGCCCCACCACTATTCCCACATGAAAAGCTGTCATGTATACTAAGTTTCAAACTTCACAGAAGTTTTATGGCTTAGTTAAGAGATCTCAAGAAACACAATTTGTAATTGAAATATTGACTATTAACTATAGCAGTTCTAGCATATAGCATGCTATAAGGATATAGTATTCCACTTACTGGATTTCATGATAGAAAAAGATCCATATTGCTAATATCAAATCAAATCTAATATCAACTCTTTTAATGAGATCAGTACATTAGTAACTTGCAACAACTGTGGAAACTGCAAAAAATAAAAAACAAAAACCAGAAAAACAAAAACCTGAAATTAGGTGAACACAGAAGGTAAAACCTGATTGTTAACCAACACTGCCATTCCAAGTCTTACTCTGCCATTTAGAAGCAGATGACCAGTAGCAATGACTAAAAAGCATATGACAGAACAAA